AGATGGCGCTACGTTCAATTTTCGCTTTCCTCAAACTTGATTTAAATATAAATATGGCTGTTGACTTTCTCACCATTGCGATTTTTTTTTACCTCTACAGAAAAAAGATGTATATCTGATCTACCCCGAAGGTAATAGAATTTTATTCAAAATCGACACCAATGTAACCTAATAACGTAGAATTGGGATAAACAGAAATTTTAAATACTCGAATGTAAATTTTAAAATTAGGTAAAAAAAACAAACTTCGATTGATGTAACAGCCATACCGCCTACTTCTGCAGAAGCACCCTCCCACCCCCAAAAAATTCACTTTCTTATCTCTAATAATATTCATATTCTCAATAACTATTTAACTTTATATTTAGGAATCCACGAGTATTATAAACAAAATATCTGATGTGGACACCACGTGACTTCCTTGTTCGGCCTATTAAATTATACACATTTTTCGATGTACTTCATTTAAACTTATTTCCTCGAATTTCATTAGACATATATTTCTCATTCAATCAAAGTTCCCGTTTCGCGGTAAGACAATCATACGTAAAATGCAAAACTTCTCCATTAAAAATTGCAAAATACAGAAAAACTTAAACCAAATGCACAACATTAAACCAAACAATAACATTAACACCAAATGCAGTTAAAAACCGTAACAAAAACATTTTTTGGAATTAAAATTAGAACGTCTACGGAAAAACAAGCAATTGGGCCAACGGAGAGGAAGAAAATTTACGGTGCACAAAATTTAAATTTCTCTGTCACTGCTCAAAAACGCTTTGAAGCTGGTGCACCAAATGACTTAATTCACTATTCTACTAAAAGTTTGAAATGTAAATGAATAGACGCCATATTAGGCCTAGCGCAACATAGAATTTTCAGTTTTTTGATAATTCTACAACTATTGCATACAGATTCCCTAAAGACATAAAAAACTTAAACCAGAACACAAGAACGACCATATTAGGCCTAGCGCAACTTAATTTTAAATTGTTGATATTTCTACAACTATTGGATGCAGATTCTCTAAATGCATAAAAACCTTAACGAAAACACAATAGCAACATAATCAATTCAACCACTTTTAAAGGGAACAATTTATCAAACATATAAGAAAAAAATTACTAAGTTTATCGAGTCGGGTAACAGAGTGGGAATATATATATAATATATATTTATATTGAGGATTGCAAGCCGAAATTTGAAAATGCATTTCTAGACCATGCGCTGTTATAAGCTTTTATCATAAGCTTTAAGCTTCTTCGGCCCATATTATTTAGTGATCGCATCACAGAAAGCTCTACCCAGGATGCACCAAGATCTGTAAACAGACAATGCTATGCTCTTTCAGGGTCAAACTTTCTCTTTCGGAGGCTTGCGACATTGATCTATATTAAATACCTGCTTTGTGACGTCACTTTACTCAGAGAAGTGGGAGAAACAAGAAACCTTGCTTTAGGCCAACACGGTGACGTCACCACGTTGGTTGACCTTGAATCGACAAGAGCGAGACTTATAGCTAATAACCTTGGGTAGCTTTGGGTCCACAGAGGAAAACGGAATTTCATCCCTGAAAAACGAAAACTTATGCTTTATTTCGAAAATAGTCCCCTACAGATGCGAGGATGTTCATCTGACTCTCCCTACCATCAAGCTCTGGAGAGGTCTTTCGGTTCGATAATATTTTAAGTGTCCTCATGCCATATACATCCATGGCTTCTCCGAGATTCGAACCTGGACTATGGCAGCCGGCATCTCAACCACCATCCAAAAAAAGCGCCTTTGACTTTTAATTGGATTCGCTACTTGATTGCTAATCAGCAGATTTTAAACTATGGGAAAATGTTTGTTCTTGTGTTATTTGGAAAAGGATGAGGTGCAAAAATTCGCAAATCTTACTAGAATTGTTGTCCGACACAGATTTAATGCAAAAACAAAGATTTGAGAAAATATCTTATTTCTTTTAATAATAAAATAATAAGGAAACAAAAAAAAAATTATTTTAAGAAACATGGAAAAACAAGGTCAAACTAAAGGATTAACTTGAGGGAAGAAGAAGTAATCCTGACAAGTACGTCACGGTACATTCCAGAAGCGAATGTTCGATAATACAAGTTGTTTTGAAGGGCAACTTGATGCCCAAGCATGACTTTATGTCGTAAAGAATATAAAGCCACTCTGTATAAAGTTTATTTACTTATTTTATACTTTAATATTGATCTAGATGAAAGAATAAACTCGCAATATTATTTAAAGAACGATGGAAATTTCATTCTCTAAGAAAATTTACGTGTATTTACCGGGTATATTTTCAGTTATTTCTTCCGAACTTTTTTTAATGTATTGTTACGAATTTTGCATTTAGTTAGATATTTTTAATAAAATTATAATTAAAATTGTTTTATTTTCCCTTCCAATGCGGCGCGTGACAAATTTCAAGAAAAAGGTACGCCGAAAAAGTAAAAATACAATAGCACGTGCATTTAACATTTAATAAAAGTTAATCTTCGTAATTGGTATTTAATTTGAATAAATGTAATTGACTACAATGTTAACTCTAACCGTAATTCTCTAATTTTTGCTTTCCAGGAATTGCTACAACTGTCTCGTGCGTTTGATTTAAAAAGCTGTAAAAGCCAGGGAGAGAACATCTCAGCTCAGTTGTTGTTTACTTGGCTGCGGTTCATCGGATTACCTTTCTCTGGGCTTTGAATTGCGTCCTATTTAACATTTTAGTAGTTTTAAAATGTAACTACTGTGTGATATTGTGATACTGTACAAGAGGGAAAAATTTCAGCATTTTGTTTTATTTCTTGTGATAATATTTATAGAATAAATTTTTTAAACTTTTTATCAGACTTGTGCATTCAATCTATTACGAACCCGTACGCACGCAACAGTATATTGTTGTGAATTAACATAACTAACACGTGTTTATTTGATTGTATTTTGATGCATTTCTGTAAAATTCCTTCAGTTTTTTTTTTTTTTTTTTGGTGGTGTGTGTGTGTGTGTGTGTGCGCGCGTGCGTGTGTGTGTTCGTTGTTGTTGTTATTTATTCATTCATTTACTTTGGGCATTTTAAACAACGTTTTCAGAAAAGTCCTTATCCAGCCTTTATTTTTACAACCGTTAGTAGTAGTTACAGTTACAAAAATGTTTTAAATGAAACAAAGATTCATGTTTCCTTTTTCTTCTTTTAGTGTGTAACTTGCGAAATATATTTTACACGTTCCTCGGGTTATTTTCACTTATATTCAGGAAAATTTTGTGAAGAATAATAAGAAATTAAATACAAAAAAAAAAAAAAAAAAGTTTTGTCTGCAGTACCATAAACTCGGACAGCTATTAGCTGTTCCTTCACGTCACGAACGAAAAAGCTGAACACGAGCGAACTCAGGTTTACGACCTCTGAATAAAAGCTATACGACGGCGAAAAAAAATACCGCCAATTAGTACGTCGCCCAGCGTACTCGTGTGGATGGGCCTTTACGCTGATGGTTTAAGATAGTAACTTTTACATCGTTTCGCAATAAACAAACTTAACTTTTTCTTGTAGATATTGCTCGGTTAGTTCGTAATTCAGTTAATTCATCCGTGATTAAGCGTGAGTTGATTGTACTATTTCACCAATTTGCTATCCTTTTGCGGTATCATTTGCGTTCACCCTGAATGGAGAGGTACCATTTCAGATGGTGAACGCATATGATACCTGTCATAGGGAGGCACCATTTGCGCCTATTATCGGAAACAGAGATATCGCGAACTGTCAAAGAATCAACGGACAATAATGTCAATAAGTTCAGATATTATTATTCCGACCTCAAACTTTTGCCTCGTTGTGATTTCAGTGGTCATCTTATTCCCCATTATTTATTTCTCAAATCAGCAATAACTGCTTCGAGCCAGCTCCAATAACAATGAATTGCATTTCTTCCATTTCTCAAGCACATGTCAAAAGGGCGAAGTATATGACCTTCAATGCGGTGCAACAAACCTATCGCATATTAAACAGGTTTCATTCATCACGACATCGTTGAGTATTTATCAGGAGGAGTGAGGGCCGTCTGCGATCGAATTCGACGCATTTCAGCTCATCCTTCACCCCTCTTTCCCGCCCACATGCGGAGCGATTCGGGAAGCAGTCTTTGTCCTTTCCTCTTCGATTGCCTTGTCAGCCAATTCATTAAACTTCACTGGCAATGTTAGGGAGTCGAGCGTAAACCTTTACAAATTGACTTTTTTGCGCTCTTTTCCCCCCTTTTTTTTCTCTCCCCATCGCATTCAGTGGGACGAGGGACCAACAATACCTCCCTCCCCAATCGTGCAAACAAAAGGCAGTAACAGTTACTTTTTTCTATCTTCACTTTCCCAATATGGCTCCTTTCATAACACTATAGAGACATGACATTAGGTTATTTCGAAGCAGAAGAGAAGAAAAATGAGCAATACCTTCGCCGGGACTCGAACAACGAACCTCTCGAATACGCACCGAGTGTGCTGACCACTGCACCACGAAGGCATGCTGAGAAGGCGGCAGAGATACTTTATAACAATAGCTGGTTGCGTGACCACCCGCCTTAAAACAATTATTCTAAAAAAGAAAAATATTGTAAGGATTTATTTGTTTTTATCTAATCAGTTATTTTACGTTAAATAGCTTTACATTCATTCTCCTTTTCCGTTTTTCCGCCAGAAGGCAAATTTTAGTAGGCGCCTATTCAAATGTGGTAGAAAGAGGTAATATATAGAAGGAAAGTTTTAGATTGTTTAATCAGAGCGTGTACAGCTTGTTGAAGGCCACGTTACTAGTTTAATGTTTTCGATGCTTCCGAAGAAGGTGAAATTTTACAATACATAATGATTTTAATGAGTTCAGCCAGTAATCGGTAATCGCAGAGACGAACAACTGCGTTTATTATTGCTTTGAACTCGTTTAGTTTATCAATTAATAAGACAAATTGGGTTTAAAAGAAAAACTGAAAGAAAAATCTTACATTTGTCGAAGGTCAATGCATCTCTGTACATCAGCCAGGACTTTATTTCTAAAATTAGAAGTAGCGGAGCATTAAAGAGGTACAAAAGTAAATAAAATGACTATAAATAATCATTAATAATTAAAAAATTAAATAGTTAATTATTATCGAATTAATTCATAATTACCTAATTAATATTTATCCATTATCATTTAATAAACAATTGTTATTTAATTAAATAAAAACTGATTAATAACCTACATAAATAATTAAATAAAATGTAAAGAGATAAGCTAAAGTTTAATAAGCGATTTTTAATATAATTTTATTGCAAAAAATAAAATTTTTCGAAAGGCACTCTTACAACTCTTCTCAGCATCGCAGAGCACAATCAGAAGCTACCACTTGGACCTACTAAGAACGTTGAACACAACGCTATGCAAAGCGAATCTCGCACGTAGATCTAACTCCGAACTAAAAACTGAGAACTAATTGCTTTCTGGTTTTTCCCGGCCGCCAAGAAATCTCTAATACCTTCCATTTCTCAAAATTACGGGAAAGCATACATCGTTAAAGTTCCATTTATGGGCCAGCTACGGATACAGTTACATACATAAGGATAATTTATAGTTATTCAGTTACAGTTGTTGTTGTTTACGCTCACTTGGCTGACGTAGTCAGCCCAAGCCCACGAAATTCCTCGTCACAAGGAACGCTAGATTATGCCTGCCGTTGGCAACAGCCTTGAGCACCTAACAGGTGACAGTGCGATGTAGGTCAGTCCCGTCCCCAATTTGATGGAGAGCACTCCGGTAGGGACGGGCCCGAAGATCTCCGACTCCTCTCCCCATGCATCGAACCACACGGGAGGACTTTCGGCTCACCTCATATTTAGAGTGCCGCCATGCCGCACCGACACTATACATTTATTTACAAACACCCATGCCTTCTCCAGGATTCGAACCCGGGCCTTTCGGCACGCTTATTCACAAAGCCTACAGACCGTTTCTTCTGCTGTTTGCTCCGATTGGTTAAAAGAGGTAGGGTTACAGAATCTAGTGCTTGGCGACTTTTAGTTCATCGCCTTTACGAATTGTATCTGAGCGTCGTGTACCAAAAAGTGAGCAAAACCCACCGGAGAAACCGCAGACCAGTGGTAACGAGCGCGAGAAAAATTCTCAGACTTCTAGGTCGCCGGTTCTATCCCCGCTCGTAGCTTTTATAAACTCTTCTCTATACGGATTTATTTTTATTTTAACTTTATTGAATGACTTTGTCATTATTTGTCTTTTCGCCTTCGGGTACGGTGTTAAAAATTAAACGCCTTTATTTTCCCTATTTTTGTTAATGTTAATTTTTTTTTCTTTTTTTTATTTACTGGTTTGTACTCTTTGTAGTAGGTACCAGTAAGCAAGATTACGATCCAAGATCCCGAAAAGTGTTTCAATAGATATAGCGCATAACGGAATAAAATATAATTTTAGTTATACTTACTCGTAAAAAGAATAGGTATCCGATACCCTTAAATGTTTACTAAATGTTTCCATTTGGTTAATTTTTTAATATTCCTTTATTTGTATAAATTAATGCGCTATGAAAATTTACACAACAGACTCTTCCTAAGTGAAATAACGAAAAAGTGCATATGCTGTCTCAATATAAACACCTTTTCTTATAAAACAATTACGTACTTTTAAAAGTTTAAATTCAAATACAAATAAACTATTAATAAGATCTCTAGGTTATTTAAGATATATTCCACACAATTCCTCTAAGCTTTCATTTATAAACTAAAAAAATATTGAATGAAATAAACGCTGTTTCCGTTTGTTTGGCGTTAATTACCATGCCTACAGGGCGATAACTCGCCATTCCAAATATGACCGCCAAGCAGATGTTTCCTCCAATGAGAGCAGCCCGTAGCGAAATTGTCTGTAGGCTTTGTGAATATGCTTTCGGCACGAGAGTAAGGGACGCTAACCACCATACCGGTTGGGAGGTTCAGTTACAGTACCAGTTATAGTTATGTAGGGATCAGATTAAAATGTCGCTAAATAGTAGCCAAATTTGGTAATTTCTCGACAAATTTGGCGACAGAAATTAGTCGCCTAAATCACTGCCAGCTTGGCGATATCTAGCCAGTTTATCAAGATAGCCATTTACCTCAATGTTAAATTGACTTGTCCCTGTAATCTTATTTTTGCGGCTGAGTTTCGTTTCTTCAGACGTTTCATGTTTCCTTACACCAAAGGTACTACAGTTTCACATTAAATGCTACTAAAAATATTTAGATACGGACAAAATTCGTAACACTATTGTTGTCCCACTTTAATAACGATGTTCAAGGTTTGTCTTTGTGTAGTTCTGTATTGCATATACCTACCAGAAGAAATACGTTCTTTTTTAATAAAGTTTTTTAAAGCTATAGGGTTTATTTTAGTGACGGAGGACGTGGGCACCACCCCTTTACTATTATGGTTAATTGGTTTAGCGCCACAAGCTATAGGGTGGTAATTATGTTTGAAAATGTTGTAATTATTATTCGATTATTTCTAAAATTTTTGTTTAGGTATTAAATAACAAGAGGCCCGGCGGCGCAGTGGCTAGCGTATCGCTCAGTCGCACTACAGGTCTGGGGTTCGATTCCCGGACTGGGGAATGTCGACTCAACCTTTGATCCCTTGATTTCTATCACTTGGGTCGATAAAATGAGTACCAAGTTCTCTTGGAGACTAAACACTGGGGTTCCTGCGATAAGCTGACCACTTGTTCAGGGCATATGCTTAGGCACCCCGGGGCCCACGGTCAAGAAAGCAGATTTCGGGCACTGCAGGCCTTGGCTCATTAGGGCTGTTACGCCACTGAGTTTTTTTTTTAATTAAATAACAAAGAATCTCTATGTATGTATTTTCCTCGCATTGTACAAAAATGGTGGCCCGTAGAGTGACCAAATTTTGAACTTGGCTTCGGGTGGTAGAGTATGTATAGTCCACCACCCGAACATCTGCAGTTCGAAGTCCAAGTTTCCAGTTTTAAATTTAGATTTCATTCATTTTATGTTTCGTGAAAATTTAACGAAGTTTGATTAACCAAGTGGACGACCTCAAACAATGTGTTGCCAGTCGGTAAACTGTACGATAAGTAAATTTTCAAATATGCTGAAATGTGTAGTCACTCCGAAAAGCGTAAAATATTTGTCTTTCGAGGTGAATCAGCAGATTCAGATATTTAAAAAAAAAATGTGTTACCACTGCTCAGAATAAAATAATTTTATCTTTCACGCACCAGTGTGTGGTTGCCATTGGACAGACCGTAAATTTAATCTGTCTTTCCATTTAATCTCTCTGTTATTGATTGACAGAAAGCAATTTAAAGTTCTTTACCTCAATTATTATTAATAGCTAGCCGCACTCACGAAATAACACTGGTTGGTGTCGTTAAAATCATTATACTTTTTTTTTTTTTTTTTTATAATAACCTTTTTGAGGCGACTAGTTTAGAAAATAAAAATCTTTTATCTCGTTAACGAAAACGAGACTGAGAAAAAATAATAAACAAACATTGGCCTTTTTCCTGTTTCTTACGCCAGATAAATTTTCAAAGATGCAGACGATAAGTAAGTCATCGCATATTCTTCTTATTTTACTCACCAGCGTCGGCAATCACGATCTTTTGGAGCTTTGTAAGAGAGAAAAGAACTTCCACTTCTCCCGAAACACGTCACCTTTTCATCAAATTTAAATATTTGAATTCTCACGCGAGAGTTGCTGGGTTTGAGGTTTAATCAAACAAAACTCATTCTGATCACGACCCGTCCTCTCCAATACGAGAGCAAAGAAAAAAAAAAGGACCTCCAATTTAATTTTCAGTCGACCCCCTAATAACCCCCGAGCGAAGTGCGAGGAGAGTAAGCCGGGTTGGAAGGAGGTGGGCATCGCGAAAAGATGATTGTCCTCTCCCACTCCACTCCCACTCCTCTCTTCCTCGTGTTTACCCGGGCAAAACTTAATTTCTGGCCGGAAGTTTATGCGCTTCCCTCTCCTCCTGCTTCCCTCTTCCCGCCTCTCTCTCCCTTTCACCCCGAGGGGAATCCTTATGAAGGAAAGGATGCGGAGGATGGAGAGCGAGGGACGTTAGAGGCAGACGAATGAGGGGCTTCAAGCTGATTGCGAACCGGGGCGTTGTACCACAGCGTGGCGCCGAATGGAAGGGGGAAAGCAATAAAAAAAAATACCGGGGCAGAGGAAGAGGGAGCAGAATGGGGGATTTTTAGGAGTGGTAATTGAAAGATGCATCAGATGAGGTGGGAACGAGGGGGGAGGGAATCAGCGATAGGGTAGAGTTACAACGCGTTTTTGGAGAGAAAGAGAGAGAAATTCGAAGCAGGAGTTTGGTATGAAGGATGACCGGCACGTGCGTCGGAATCACGTTGTAGTCTTCATTAACTAATTGCCAATTCCACTAAATTGCTCAGGAATATTAAATTCCGTGTCCCCACTCAGCCATTTTCAAACTCAGTACCCGTGGAATTACCGTATTCTGTGCGTACAAGGCGTCACATAACGAAGACCTACACTCACTCCCCAAATATTCCTTAGAATCTTATCCCGCATTCGTATATTCGACAGGGAACGCGCTCTTTCAGTTCCTTCTCAAAAAGCTTTTGATATTAAAAAAAGGTTTTATTAATCTAATGCTATTATAAGTGTTAAAAATTAATAATTTAAACTGGGGATAAGGGGAACCAGTCATCAAAGCCTGGCGGTGAAGAATCATTATCCACCACTTTTTTTAGTTTGTGCGCCACTGTAAATTTCATTAGGTTATTTTGATTCGGGATCGATTTCTGCGCATTATTACTGATTGACACTATCTTATCCGCAATAAACTTTTACACAGAGACTTAAACCTTGAGACGATTCCAGATTACATCAGAAGATCTAATGAAAAATTTTTCAACAAAGGTGTGCAATGTGACTTTGTTAATTACTTCCAAGTCATTAATTATGAAATTCTTCGAAGATAGAAGCGTCAGACCACTTGCAGCTCACACCTCCATGGGAGGAGAC